CAGAAGGATGAGACAGAGGGGAGTTTCCCAGCCATGCATTGGAATATTTCCCAGCCATGCTCTGGGTCCTGAGGTGATGAGAGCCCTTCCCTTCTAGTGAGTACTTCCCTAAATGGACAGGTGGTGGCAGCAAGTTACCCAAGTAGAAGAAAGAGGGAAACCCCATCCAGGAGTTGGGAATCCCTAGGAGTGGGTGGGCAGAACAGGGCCAGCAGGTCAGAGTAGGCCTGTTCCATCGCATATGGTTAATATCTCTCCTTATATATAATTGAGTAGTGGAGTGGCACTTTCCAGCTCTCCCACTGGCTGTGCAATGCGCTCCATCAGTCATTGGCCCATCAGCCACCACTCAAGAGTACTCATGTGCCATTGGCCGGGTGCTGGGTCTGCTCCTCTTCTCCGCCCACCCCCACCTCAGCCACTGTTCCCTGTCAGAATTACTGGCAAATGGCTGTCTCTCCCAACGAAGACACTTCTCCTGCTTGGCTCCTCTGTGGAACTAACTTTTCCCTCAGTGGCTGCTGGTAGAAGGAAACCCTTTCCAGGCCTTTGTGAGGAACTCATTGGGGCCCGTCCTGACTAGGGTTGCAAGCTCCAGTTTGGGAAATTCTTGGATATTCTATGTCTAAGGAAGCCAGTCTAAGCAAGCCAGAGTTTGGGGAGGGGAGGGGCCTCAGCTGAACACAGTGCCATAGAGCCCACCCTCTAAAGCAGTTATTTTCTCCGGGGGGGGGGGAGAGATCTGTTGTCTGGAGTTCAGCTGTGATACCCGGCGATCTCGAGGCTCCACCTCGAGGTTGACTGCCCTAGACATAGCAGATTTTGGCCTTTGGGAGAAAACTTATTTGGGCCAGTCCTAACTAGGGTTGCCAGCTCCAGGTAGGGAAATCTGTAGAGATTTTATGGTGGAGTCTATGATACCTAGCAATCTTCAGGCTCCACCTGGAGGTTGGCTACCTTGGTGTAGCAGTCAGCACTTCAGAGCAGGGTCTGCTACCCCAGGTTCTTGCTGTGGAAGCTGAATGGGTGATTTTGGAACAGTCACAGACTTTCAGCCTAACCTACCTCACAGGGTTATTGTGTAGTTCAGAAGGGGGAGAGAAAAATGATGTAAGCGGCTTTGGTTCCCATTGCAGAGAAAAACTGTACTTTTCCTCCTGGGGAACCATTGTTGCCGATCTCCAGGTGGAGGCTGGAGATAACTCAGAATTACAACTGCTCTCCAGATGGCAGATCACTTCCACCAGAGAAAATGGTGGATTCTGTGTTCTCATACCCTGCTAAGACGGTCCTCCTATGACAGCCAATGTGACATAGTAGTCAGGGCTTCAGAGTATGGTAGAGGCTGCAGGTGTGTGTGGGGGAGACGGAATGCTGAAGAGTGAGGGGCAGGTAACAGCTGGTTGATGCTTAGCTGGGAAGAAGATAAGAGTTGCCAACTCCAGGTTGGGAAATTCCTGGAGACTTGAGGGATGGAGCCTGGAGACGGTGGGGTTTGAAGAGGGGTGGGACCTCAGACAGGTACAATGCCATAGACTCCACCCTTTAAACCAGGCAGGGTATAAATTTGATAATAAATAATTAAATAAATATGGGGAACCATTGTTGCCAATCTCCAGGTGAGGGGTGGAGATCACTCCAAATTACAACTCCTCTTCAGGTAGCAGATATCAGTTCCTCTGGAGAAAATGGTGAACTCTGTGTCATTATACCCTGCTAAAATCACCACAGCAAACTGACACTGAGTGCCCAAGGCCCAAAGCCTCTTTCTAGAGTTCGTTGTATTTATTTCCACAACAGGCCTTATTCCTAGTACATAAGAGCCATGCAGCTGTTGCAGCTGGTTTATGGCTAAGGACTGACAGTTTCAACATGGAATTGGCTGTGCCTTGGGACAATCACAAAGTTTAACTAAAAGCTCCCTTAACATCAGAGGACCTTCATGAAGCACTGGGCAATCACAAATATGAACTAACCATACAAATATATTGATAAGAATATTCTTCTTTCTATTTCATCTTCTTGTGTTGAGATATTCTTTATTCTTACAGAATCATAGACTCACAGAATGAGAAGGGGCCATACAGACCATCTTATCCAACCCCCTGCTCGATGCACGATCAGCCTAGAGCAGTGGCCCCTAACCTGCGGCCCATGGGCCGCATGCAGCCTCCAAGCTCTTTCTATGTGGCCCTCCAACCTGCTTGTTTGCAGCTATCACCCTCAAGGCATTTTCCCTCACAACCACACTGTTCTTTCTGCCTCAAGAGTCACCATCTACTGCTGTTCTTCCTGTCCCTTTCTAGCAAAAAAAAAAAAAAAGTCACAATAGCAACAGTGTTTCTTCTGGTCTCCATGGTTCCTTTTGTCAGCCCCCCTCTTGGTCTTATTCTCTATACTAGCATTTTGGCCATTCTGGGTGCTTTGCTAGCTAGCAAAGCTCAGGTACCCATACCACTCAGCTTTTTCACTCCACCTCTCCATGCATTACCATGTTGAGGAGATAAAGCAGCTGTGTGATTGGGTACAGGAGATGTCTGGCCTGCTTTTGCAAAAAAAAAAAAAGTGGGAAAAGGACAGTAAAAGGGCTGGTATTTTTTGCAAAAATAAAAGGATACAAAGTGTTTTGCATACTGAACATTTTTAGAGGCTCCATGCATCATGGCTCCTCCAAGTGGCTTCCAAGGTGACTGGTGAGGTAGCTGCTGCAGGCAAAAGCATCCTTCCTTCCTCAACAAGAGCTGGTTGCTCTGACTTCTTGCCTGGCTTGCTTCTGCCTCTCCTCCCCCACCCACTCCTCCCCCACCCACTCCAGCTAGGAGTCTTCTCGTGCATCTGTGATTGCAGGATCCAGTGAGTGTCCCTTTGGGTGGAGAAGGAAGGTGTACTCTCTTAGCAGGGAAGCTTATGGTGTTCCCCTTCCCACATCTTTCTCCAGCCAAGTTCCCCTCCCCCAGGCTGCCATTTTGCTTCTCATGATTGAAGCTTGGCTGGCGGGCAGTGGTGTGTATGTGCACCCTGCATATAATTTGCATACTGAACATTTCTAGAGGCTCCACCAATCAGGGCTCCTCCAAGTGGTTTCCAAGGTTACTGGTGACGTTGCTGCCGCAGGCAAAAGCATCCTTCCTTCCTCAACAAGAGCTGGTTGCTCTTTCTTGCCTTGCTTGCTCCTGCTGCTCCTCCCCCACCCACTCCAGCTAGGAGTCTTCTCATGCATCTGTGACTGCAGGAGCCAGTGAGTGGCCCCTTGGGTTGGGAGGGAAGGAGTACTCTCTTAGCAGGGAAGCTTATGGGATTCCTCTTCCCACATCTTCCTCCAGCCAAGTTCCCCTCCCCCTGTCTGCCATTTTGCTTCTCAGGATTTGAAATAAACTTAATGGCATATCCTCTGCTCCAGTTGGGAAGTTGCCCTTTGATTCACTCTTCCTGTCTACCTGCCCTTTTTGGGAGGGCCCCGATCTTTAAAGTATTAGCAGGTGTAGATTTAAACCTCCAGGCAGTCTGTTTGTTAAGAACCAAATCTCATAGTACGTAGTGTACTTAGGATAGCAACTCTGCCATCTGGTAAATCAGATTCATAATTAGGGTTGCCATGTCCCCCCCCGGCTCCCGGAGGGGGATGGGCGGGTAGGATTACCAGATCTAGGTTGGGAAACTCCTGGAGATTTGGGGATGGAGCCTGGAGAGGATAGGGACCTCAGTGGAGTACAGTGCCATAGAGTCCACACTCCAAAGCCTCCATTTTCTCCAGGGGAACTGATCTCTGTAGTCTGGAGATGAGCTGTCATTCCAGGAGATCCCCAGGTCCCACCTGGAGGCTGGCATCCCTATTCATAATCCATTTTTAAAACATCCTTCCTAGGCTGTGCATATGGCCCAGTACTCCTGAGGACTGTAGAGCCCGCATTGCGGGGAGGGCGGGGTATAAATTGAATTAAATAATAATAAATAATAGAGGCAGGGGTCTCTTCTCTTCTTTCCCATGAAGGCAGCTTCTGCCTTATTAGACATTGGAGGGAGCTGTAGAATTGAAATGTTTACAAGACCATTTGGGCCTTCTTGAAATACTGGAAAAGTTCAAAACTTCTGATTGTTTTTTGGGCAGAATTGTTTTTATTTTTGCTGAATCTATGTATTTTTTTTTAAGTTTTAGTTTTCTTGGGGGGGGGGGAGGCCCAAACTATAACCATGACGAAAATTTCCCCCTGTGTGGCAGGGGCCTAAGATACGTTTAGCGAACCTGTTTGAACTTATGACCTGATACAGTATTAGGATACAGACCTGCAGCAGCTGCCATTATGAATATTTTAGTGAACCATCTCAAAACATCAAGCCTCTTATACACTTGGGAGTAAACTCCTGTTGTTGTGTCCCCCCCCCCCCCCCCCCCGCTATCCCCTTTGGCCTATACAGAATGTATTCATTTTCGTCATGGTTATTAAGTGTTCTATGACTCTTTTTCTCATCTCAGTCAGTACGGCTACCATTTTCAGTCAGGTTTCTCTCCAACAGTTGGATTATATGGGAGAGAAAAGGAACAAGCCCTTGAAAATGTACGCATGCATAAAATAACTGTTTTCTTTTTCTCTTTTTCTTTTTGAAAAATCACAATGGGGGGATTAACATCACTTAGGCATCAATGTGTTCTTGTCAGGGAAGACCCCGTAGGGCTTCAAGGCAACTTCTTGACATTAATGAGGCTTGTTGCATTTACAATGGTCTATCTATTCAGTGCTCACTGCAAATTGAGGATTTAAGTCATTACAGGAATGAGGTCAAACTTGTAAGAGCCCTCATGCCTTTACAAGTAAACCTACCCCCTAAACAGGTTTACACAGAGAGAAAGAATAAGCTACTCGTGTCTAAAGCTACCATAAAGAATTCTTAAGGGGGAAACACCATGCTTAAAAATTTAAAAAGATGAAAGTTCATGAAATATTGACTAGCTGTACAAAAGAGGAAGGTGGGGTGAAGAAACTATAAATATTTCCACTTACCAGAATATCTTTTCCAGCCCACTTGCATTCATCCCTACGGGCAGGAGAGACGGGCCAGATAATCTAAAGAAGTCAAATAAAAATAATTTAAGATAATGTTGTGCTTAAACCATTTGAAATTGTATGCAGTGCTCCTTGCCTAGGATCTCACAGACTGATTTTTCACGTGTTACTTACCCCTGTTTACCGGCGGGGCAGTTTGCCCTGGATCATTTAAACTGATTTTGCATTAGAGTTCTTGGTGCATGGCTGTTTTCAATCTGCTCCCGGAGTTTGATTTCCTTGGTGAGGTTTCCTGCAGCTTCCTGCATCCTCCCTCCTCCCACTCCCCTGTCTTCGCCCTCTTAATCCCTCCCCTTCCCCCTCCCACTTTTTCTCTGCAACGCAACAGGAAACTTCTGGGAAATCAAGGATTGAGCTGAGCCGGAGCAAAACAGGGAAGCTGCAGATCAAAAGGTGGCTGCGAGACAAATGGTGTGAAATTGACCAGAAGAAACAGAGGGAAAGGAGGAGCCAACCTGGGACAAAGGCTAGTGTGAAGTCAGTTACAGTGTCTGAGGAAAATGCTTTATCAATCCAATGTGAATAAAATGCCAAGATTTTATTGAATTAAACACTTATACCTGGCCTTTCCTTTCAGCTGAAGGTGGCTTACATAACAGCAACTATGATTGTATGTGATAGTATTTCTTGCCTTTTGCTGGTTTTCATAGGTCCTGAGAGTCTGCAATAATATAACACATTAAAAGCAGTTCCCAAATTGGAAGTAGAAAGGTTTATACCTGTGGTTGACAGGGTGGTCTCACAGGGCTTGTCCAAAAGCTTCTCACAGCTTGTTCATATTAAAAACAAGTGAGCTGGAAGTGGTGCACTGCCACCAGTGAGAGGGTGGGATCTGACCCAACGAATGGGGTATTTAAATGCCTATGGGAAGACTGGTGAATGGGGAGGAAGTAGCCTTGAGGGAGTGGACCCAGAGCCTGAGGAGGGGAAGAAAGTGGTGACAGGTAGACTGGAGGCAACGACTGGAGACAAAGAGACAGCGGACTATCCTTAGGCAAAAATGCTGAGTACAGAGGTTTGAAGGTATCATGGAGTAGCAGAGCTGGAGGTGAAAAAGGAGGGCTGGGCATGAAGCACTGGGGCAGCTTGAGGGAATTCTCTACCTGATGGAACAAGCTCCCGGAGGAGATCAGGCCCCTGCGGGACCTTATGCAGTTCCACAGGGCCTGTAAGACGGAGCTCTTCCACCAGCTCTTCCACCACTGCCATTGTACCACCATCGTATTAACATCATGAGGCGCAGTGGCCCTGGTATGGGGATGACAGTTCTAGTGTAACATCAATTGAGGAGAGACAATTGTGTTTACTCGGAGTGTGTTATTGTTATTGGCATTTTATTATGGAATTGATATGGTCTGTTGAGCACCACCTTTTAACTGTTTTATAGGTAATGATTGTTTATTGTTTTATTGTTTTATGCATGGCATTTGCCTCTATGTTTGCTGCCCTGAGCCCATGTTGGAAGGGCAGGATACAAATTTAATAAATAAATAAATAAATAAAACACACAAGAGTGATACCCCAACATACTCAGAACCAACAAAGGAAGGGGTGGGAGTGCAGAGTCAGGAGACACTGAGGAAAGAGTTTTGCAGTACAGAAAGGGTAGGACTTGGGGAAAGTGCTAGCCCTAATGAAGGTGCAAGTGGGTGGAATGAAGAGAGGCTAGAGAAATTAGAGAATAACTCCTTAGGAGAACAGAGGGACTTAAAGCTCAAAGGGTAAAGGCCTCCAGAGGGCTGCAAAGAAGGGCATTGGACTGAAGAGAGACTCTAGGGACAAAACAGGACTGAGAATGGAGAGACTGAAACATTGGTGTGAGGGTACAGAAGTGTAATGAAGGGCTGAGGAAGTCAATTCCTTGGTGTGTAAAGAAGCTTAATAATGTTACATGGCCAAGCAGGAGCAAGAGAGGGGCTTTGCCAACATAATGGCAACCCCTGGTCTGAGACCACTGTAAGCAGTGACAGCACTCAACAAAATGGTCCAGAATGCAGTATGTCACAAGCAAAAAAATGGGACAACTTTCCCCAGTGATTTGTACGATGTTACCCTATGAGCTCATAGACATGTCCTCCATGAACCTATCATTACTTATCAAATGGAATGCTATCAAATTTCAGAGAACTCTTATTAAAGGTATTTTTTTTTCAAATTATGTAAGAGTTTCAGGAGGAGGATATAATGATCTTTGGAGATATGAATGGAGTATTATATCCAAAGAAGGATAGATCAATTAATACAAAAGGTGGGGAATTACCTAAAAATGTATTTTAGTACTTGGAAATGCTGAAATTAGAAGATGTGTAGAGGATTATGCATCCAAAGAATAGAGACTTTACATTCTCTTTCGACAGACATCAAGAATAGATATCAGCTGGACATCAAAAATAAATTTAGATAAAGTAGAAATCCAGCCAAAGATATTTTCAGGCCACAATCCCATCGAAGTAATCTGGTGATGGAACAGAAAAATAAGAGGAAGATGGAAACTGAATGATGCTTTTATTGCAAGAAGATGTAGTGAAGTACAAAAAGGACCTGGAAGAGTTCTTCAAAATAAAGAATAGGGAAGGAATGGCTACAATATGGGAAACGAGTAAGGTCTTTTTTTAGCGGAATCTCACTAGCTGTTGATGCCAAAAAGAACAAGAAAAATTAGAACAAACGAAGATAATAGTAGAAAAAACCCAGAGGATGGAACTGGAGAACAAAAGTAACCTTAACAAAGGTGAACCTTCAGAGATCAGACAACTAAAAATCAACTAGGTATATTAGAAGTGGAAGAGGTACAAAAGAAATTGGGATACACCTGGCAGATATCTGGCATACTGCCTCAGGAGGGAAAAAGAAAAAAAGAGTCATAGCAGGTGTAAAGAAAGGAGATCAAATCACATATCAGGAGTTTTTTCCCCAGGAATATATAAGAGGTTTGTTCCAGAAGAAGGATTAAGAGAATAACTAAAAGACATTCCAATCACAAAGCTTACATCAGAACATAGAAAATTTTTGAATCAAACAATAACAATTCAAGAAATCTTTCAGGCAATAAGGAATATGAAAAAGGATAAAGGACCAGGCTCGGATGGGTTGACAGTAATGTATTATAAACACTGTGAAGAAATGCATTTTTTCCTTTAGAAGTTTGAAATGAGCAAAACCTTTGCTCTGAGTTTTAAACGTTTTTTTTTCTCTTCTCTCGGGGCAGAGAACAGGTAGGAAGAGGGGAGGCAGTCCAATTGCTTGCCAGCATACCTTAATACAAATGCTAATGGGTCTAAACAATTGGATAGTCAAGCCCCACCACCTTTCAAGCAGGCAACAGAGATTTGGAGGTGTTTAGTGCCAGAGAGGCTTCAGGAAGTAAATTCCTGGAGGCATCAGGAAAGGCTTCCTTGACCTGGCCTGACTGGGTCAGTGGGTAGAGAAACAGATATGATAAAATGTCCTTGCAGAAAGGAGGAGGCCTCTTTTCCTTGGGTGCTGGATCCATGAGAGCAGACAGAACTCTTCGTTTAGAAGGCAGCCATTGACGATGTGCTTGCATGAAGAGCTACAGAAAGCCTCAAAGTAATGGAAATGCAGTAGAGATTTATAACATTCTAAGTTTAAGGAGCTTGTCCTATTTTAATATCTGATAGGGCGTGTATAAAGAGAGGGACAAAAGATTTGCATTTTAACAATTTCTTTTGGATTCCTTGCTCAATCTGGTGCTGTGCTAAAAGTATGCTTCTGAACATTTTCTTTCTAATAAATACTTTATAACTTAAGATGCTGGCAGTGGTTCTCTGTACCACATAGACTTCCACTGTCTTGGACACTCTATCTTAAATGGAGCGCCAGGCAGTTGGCAAGTGGCTATTCCTCCAAGGGTGCACAATGCAGTAAACTGTCCCTGTGGTGACGAGGTGCTGGGCAAGGCCTCAGTTCTTGGAAGGAAAGATGACTGCTGGTCAATTGGCCATAATAAATTTGAAATTGAAATTGAAAGGAAAGATGGGAGCCTAGAGCCTCACAGCAGGCAATTCCTTACAAAGGTCATGTGGTGGTGGCAAGTTACCAGAGATAGAGAAAGGTCTCTCCAGTTGTTGGAAAAACTATGGAAGGCAGGGTGGATCAGGGCCTGCAGGCCAGAGCAGGCCCATTCCACCACACATTTTGAAAAAGCTTTGATTATACCATTACAGAAAGTTATGAATGAGATAAAAGAAAGAAAGACAATACCTCCAATGTGGCAAGAGATGTATATAATGTTAATACATAAAGAAGGCATTGGTGCAACTCTGCTGCAGCCATACAGACACCTATTTCTCTGCTGAATGTAGATTACAAAATCTTTGGCAGAGAGACTAAGAAAATGTATACCAGATTTAACACATGGGGACCAAATGGGCTTTGTCCCAAAGAGATATATGGAAGATATGATTTATAATAGATGCAGTTGCATTTGTGAATAAGAAGAGGAAGAATGCAGGGTTTTTTTGGGGGGGGATGCAGTGAAAGCATTCAACAAACTAACATGGCCCTTTTTACTGAAGGTACTTCATAATATGGGCTGTGGCTCCAAATTCTGGACCTGTATGCAGAGTATATATACAAATCAGCAAGCAAAGATTTTAACAAATTGGAAACTCTAACAGAAGCCATTACAATTGAAAACGGCACACACGGGAGATGTCCTTTGTCACCATTATTATTTATCCCTGCGATGAAGATTCTGACCATAAATATCAGACAAGATACCAGGATTAACAGAATAAAAGTGGCTGATGTAGAGTTTAAAATGAAAAGCTATGCAGATGATGTGGTTTTGATAGTGTTGAAACCACAAAAATCGGTGTAGGATGTAATGGAACATATTGAAGAATTTGGATTCTTCTCTGGCTATAAAATTAACAGAAAGAAGGCCAAAATAATATTGAAGTTTCTAACGCAACAAGAGAGCTTGTATCATAAAGAACACAGAATGTACGCTTGCCACTAATGCCATCAAATATTTG